GCTTAACAAAATGTATTCCCATCCAGGTTGGAGTGGACTTCACTTTCGACCTGGCCTAGGTTTCATCGGCACCCCCAGCCGCATTGCCACGAGCGACCTTGGGTCACATAGCAGATGTTAATTTCAAGGAAGGCAAGGTATTTTCCCATACTATATTCTGTGATGGGATTGTCGATTAGGCAAAGTTGTATTTGCTATAGCCATCAACTAAGTAACTTATTTTTCGTTTATAAGTAGGCTTTCAAGACTACCATAAGATCATCTATATGAGACTTATTCATCCTATTTAGTGTAGTGTTAAGGGGACAAGTAGTTGAACTTTCCTACGATGATTTGACTAGACATGCATATAAGAAGCGATTCGCTGGCTATAGCAAATACAAATGTGCTTCTTCGACAATCTCACCACACAATGTGATATGGAAAAATGACTTACCTTCCTTGAAACTCACATCTGTCCTGTTGTCGAAAGGTTCTCGTGGCAATTTGGCATAGTGGTTAAGTTGTCGAGAGAATACCCTGCAGTTTCGTTGTTCTAGTCCCGCTAGGGGTCGTTATAAGACCTATTCGAGGTAGAAACTGCTGTCTATCCTGGATGATAATAGCTTTTGGGAAGCAAGGCTATGTGGGTTTCAATAGAAAGTCTTATTCACTCATATTCTTGTGAAAAACTAAATAGAATGAATAGATCTCATATATATATATATATATATATATGATCTACTGGCAGTTTTGAAAGCATATTTATAAACGTAAAAGTATGAGCCTTTTATTGGTTTAGGATACATTTTATGTGCTCTGATTACTCTTCTTCATAGTCTGAGCCCATCATTTGATAGATTTTATTTTATTTTTCGAATTAAGTATTGTTTTCATGACTACCAGTAAATCAGTAATATAAGATGTATTCACCCAATTTCGTTTAAGGTGATGAATGACTGGTAGAAGAATAATTTTCCTACAATGATATGAGTTGTGGGAAAATTCTTCTTCTACCAGTTCTTCATCACCTTAAACGAAATTTGGTGAATACACCTCATATTACAGATTTTATTTTGTCATAGGGGCCCTGGTGTCTGATTCACTGTCAAAATGGGGTCTCAGGAATGAATTCTTTCATGCTGTTTTTTGGTATCCAATCCTACTAGTAGGTATAGATTAGAACTTTTCTGTTTTTTTTATCTTCTTAGTCTTGACAAGCGCTTGCTGCAGCTATACTCGGCCCATTGCAACTGGAATTCATCATCACAACCTCTGGTCCGTTTTGAAGTTGTCGGTGGCAATGGAAGCGCATTTTTCGATTTTTTAGACCCACTCATGCCAAATCGACTGATCCTGAAACCGTCTTCTGAACGAATTATTAGAGAAAGAATGGCATCTGCCTCTGCTCCCTACTCCTTTGCTCCTGATCCTGCCGAATCTAGACAGTCTCTTGCAGCTGGACACCTGCTCACAGTGAACGTTCAGGCCTGGCTGGAAGCTGCTCAACTCAGCCGCCTGCTTGTGGCCTGCTCGGCAGCACCGTCGGCCGCCAGTCGAGTCTGGCTCGACCCTCGACTTCGCATCTACTCCCCACGCCCGTTCAGTCTGTACTTTGCGTCCGCGTCGGCACTGGCCAGAAGGCAATCGGCTTCCGTGCAGGCTGTCTGGGAGTCAAATTCGTCACTCGCGACGTCGCTGAAAACGGACGAATTCGTGACTGCCAGACAGTTGGTAGAGGAGAGTGGACAGGTTAGTTGGGCTAACCTGCAGCTGGAGGCAATTTCTGGCTGCCCAAAGTAAAAAGCCGAAACAGGCTTTTTGCACATTTTGGTTATTGACGGAGATTTCATGGATTATTTAAATTTCACACACAATAATTAGAACAAAACATTTTTTCAAAACCATAATTAAGAGTTTGTTTGAACCCGCTTTCACAACTCAGACTACTTTTCATTAATCGAAAGTATGAAGACCAGGATGATGTGGCCTTTTGTATGGTTGTGGTCTCCTCTCGTTTTATAGAAGTTGTTTCACCTTGTCTTAGCAAGTTGGTCATATTGGCAGGAACGCACCTTGTCCGGATTTCATAGGATGCATGATCATTTCCAGAGTCGGACCGTGGACTTGGTACATTCTCAGACGTTTCGCCGGCATCGTCAGTGAGTTCTGCCACTCTCAGCAATTAAGCTACAGCTTGCCATAGAGACAACTGAAGTCAATATCTTGGCCAACTTTCTTTCGAAACGGAAATGCTCTCACTCCTCTTTTTTCCTGGTCCCTTTATCCATTTCCTACCCTCTAGTCTCACCCATGTCCTATCATAACTTATGAAATGCTTATATTCCACAAGAGATGTGTCCTTTTGGCGAATTTACCGTGGCATCATCATACCTTTTGTTTGCCTTGATCCCCTCCCTTCCGAGTGGCTGATCCTGCTCTATTTTCCTGTCCGGATCTGCCTCATGGGTCCGTGGGTCCGTTTCTTATCTTTCGGGTTGACCGATTTCACTCAAAGTGCAATTTATCGAGCCTTCAATAGCATGAACAAAGTCGCTTTATCGTCAGAGCGACAAGGTCCCTTTTATTTAGTCGCCCTGACAACAAGATCTAGGCTCTGATTCCCATGCCTGCGGTTGTTAGGCCCTACCTTCACGAATCATCTCCTCGATTAAGCCCGTGTACCCTGAGCAAACGGTGGACATCTATCTCTAGTCGCCTGTGGCATCTCAAGTGGATTATTATTCCATTTGGTCACAACGCCCGATTTCTGTGACCCAATCCCTCTTCTTAGTCACGTGAAACGTCGGGCCCCCAAGTTGAAGTTGTTTATTCGACCTGACTACACTCACTGGAACCGTCTTCTCTTCATTTCCGAAACTACCTCACCCACTTCTTCCTTTCGATCACTTTTTTTCCGATTTACGCTAGATACTTGATCCAGGCGTCTTCTTTTTGCTTGTCTTGTTGCATTTATGTTTTCTCCATGCTTTATTAGGCAATAGTGGCGTAGGGGTTAACGCGTGGAGATTATGCGCTCCACTGTCATGTTTAGATTCCTAATAGGGATGGTGACGAGGATTCACAAACAGCTGCAAATTTAAATATTTTTTTTTGGTTACCTTATTTAAGCTAAGATAGATACTTCAAAGAGATCGCATGTGTTTGTGTTGTCTAATCTGTGCTTTGGTAAACCTATTTTTATATTCGTATAGGAGAAGGGTTTCGAGACTCACCTCATTACAACCCATTTTTAGTTAAGATATGGAAACCAAGATGGGGTGGCCCCCGGTATGTTCGCAGTCTCATTTCGATTTATAGAAGTGGGTTGACCTATTTTTCGCAACATGGTCTTATTGTCAGGGCAAATTAGTAGAAGGGACCTTGTTCGAAGTCCTCTGCCATAGTAGTTATCATATTCCCAGCATCAGACCGTGGACTTGGAACATGAGAATGTCATTTCCAAGTCCACGGTCTGATGCTGGTTATTATGTTACCTACTATGGCAAAGGACTCTGTTAAGGTCCCTTTTACTAAGTCGCCCAGACAACAAGACCAAGTTGCCAAAATGAGATCAACCCACTTTGTTTTTTAGTTAGTTGAACAAGCAAATAGGCCTTAGGATTCTGGCCCTTGAGCATAAAGATACATGGTTTCGTATTAATGGCATGTCACCGTCGATTGAGCCATGCGTGTAGCTGAATCATCCCAGATTTGACAACTCAGCCGAATTGGATACAGAGTAAGATTATTGGCCGGTTGGCCAAAATATTGAGGCTTGATACGATTACTATTTGCTGGGGCAATTCCCACTGAATATCGCACTTTTGCCAAATGACATTTCGGTAAGTAATATTTGCTTTGCCCAGAGTTCTTTGACATAAATATTAGCATCGGTGGTTAATTAATCTCCCCTATATATATATATATATATATATATACACTAGGTTAATTCTTATCCGGGTTAGACTGAATTTTTGACTACGCATGAGCGTCGTCAGAACCTCTAGCAGTGCGCGGAGTAAGTGCCTGCTAATGAAGAGTAAGGACTTAGTGAAGTATGTGGCAACTTTTGCGTTGGTAGAATAAGCTTTAGCACTGACAGTTATTGGTAAACATCGCCTTTATTTTATGTTTCTCAAATTATACAACATTATATTATTTTATTTTATATTATATTATATTATATTATATTATATTATATTATATTATATTATATTAT